GCCACGTACAGAGCATGAGCTGTAAACTGAGACTAATTTGGCACCAAGTTCAGTCATAAAGGATAAATGTGCTCTATGGCCACATTCAGGATGTAGCTGTAATGGCTAAATAAAACCATACCCCAAGTGATGGAAGCTGTCAGCTACAGCCCCGGGGAATCGGGCATTTGCAAGCCAATGGTGACTATTGCAGAGCAGAAAAAAGGGAAAGGACTGAATGACTGTAGTGCAGAGGGAAGGGGAGGAGGAGGAGGGTGTGCGGGAGGGGAATGTTCATGGTGGGTTGAAAACAGCATTGAGGAGCCCTGTGTTTCTCAATGACAGTGTCATTTCCTCTGTGCCCAGGTGACTGCTCAGGTGTGCGGCAGAAGAGAGGAACAAATGAGCTCCATCAGAGCCAGGCCGGGATGCAGGATCAGGCCATGATGGTTCCTCAGCGCTGGAGCCCCAGTGCTCTGAAACCACCAGAGCCCAGAGCAATGAGTGCATGTGACAGGTAGGACACTGGGGCTCGTCCCCTCTGCCACCGTGCTGGTTTCTCACTGGTGTCACCTCAAGAGGTATTTAGCTCCTTTTAGCAGTGGGGAAACTGAGGCAGGTGGTGGCTCCTGAGACTGGGTGTGTTTTGGGCATGGCAGCAGATCTGGCACCTGAGCCTGCTGCTCCTGAAGTGCTGGCATTGGGCTCCTCCAGTGAGCTGGGTCCAGGGCAGGGGCAGCAAGGAAGGAACCTGCTGCCAGCAACTGTGGTGGACCCAGGATGTTCTTCCAGGGAGGGGGAGTGGAGATCCTCTGTGTCTTGGGTGATAAATGCACCGTGGACCAGCTCCGGAAATGGGGCAGGGGAGGATGTGAGCGACAGGATTCATATCCCGGAAAGGCTGTGGTGTAATGGCTCGGGAATTCAGCATGATAAATGCATTTGTCTGTATTGTAACAGACAATCTGCTTAATGTGGGAAGCAGAGTTTCCTGCAGCACTGAATTAGTGGGGAAGGGAAAACCCTGAGAGCCAGGAACTGCCGGGGAGAGAATTAAGCAGGTAAACCCATTACCAGGGACCACCTCTTTGTGTGGGGATTACACTGAGGTTTAAGCTCCAGCTTTCTGATGCTCAGTGTCTCGAGGAGTGAGAGCTGTAGCAGGGGCCTCTCCCTCCCCTTGAGGGGCTTGACCCGAGGGCTGGGATTAGCAGTTGCCACAAGCCACCCTCAGTAGCTGGAACAAATTGCTGCACGTGCTTCGAGACAGCCTGACCTGCACAAACCATGGTGATGCCTCAAGGTGGAGGTTTGCCAAATCCCCCCATTCTCCTAATATCAACCTTCACCATGAACTGGTTTACACTGTCCCAGTACCCTGAGCAGAAGTTTGCTCCGACTCCCTCCGTAGCTCAGGAGTGCTGCAGATACTGGCTCTATAAACAGAATCAGGGCACATATGGGAATAGATGTGGTATCCCAAAAGTTTATTTCTGCTGGCACATCGTGAAGGGGTTTGGCACCATCCATGGTACCTGCACTAAAGGAAGGCTGAGGACAGCGTGGATGGAGGTCTGGGGTGCAGTGGGGGTGCTTGGGATGGGATGCAGTGCCATGGGACGAGCACTGCCATGAGCCAGGCTTGGGCTGTGGCTCTGGGGGCTCCCTTGGTCCTTGCTGGAGCCTCAGAGGGGATGATGCTACATGGCATCGTGGTCCCCCACAGCCCTGGCCTGGCCACCCACCACCACGTTGTCCCATAGCCTCGAGATGTGTGTGTCCTCTGTCAGCCTTTCCAAAATGCCAACCGCAGGAAAACAGCAGAAACCCAACTTTCCTTTTGCTTGGATTCCCATCAGTTCCCAGAGCTTAATAATAGATTATTTCAGGCTTCCTTGCTTCAGTTGTTTTGGCTTTTCAGGCTGTGGCTGAGTGATGTCTCATGGGCAAAGCAGCCCTCTGGGTTAGAGGAAAAGGAAGAAGCCACTCTGTGGGATGAGTGTTCTTGCTTGCCACTGTAACCCCTCTCTACCCTTCCTGCCCCCCCGCCCCGAGGGTCCCCCTCAGCCCTGGCCCCATGTGGGGTGCAGGGGTGGGAGCAGCCCCGGCACCCGGGGGGAAGCGGGGCAGGGAGGCAGCGGGGGAGCAGCCACTGCCCGAGGCCCCTCCAAGCTCCCTCTCGCTCCATTTGTCAGCCAGATGCTGCTCCAGATGTTGCCGCTCCGCTGCGTGGCCTCGGCGCCTCCGCATCGCCATCTCCTGGGCACCCGCGGCGCGGGGCCGGGACCGGGACCGGGACCGGGGCTGGCTTTGCACCGGGGAAGCGCGATTCCCGAGCGCCCGCTGGCCGCAGCCCTGGGGGCCGGGCCTGGCATTTTCTCTGCCTTTCGGTGCTTGCTCCACCGCCCCATGAGCTCGTCCCTGCCCGCTCCTGCGGGTCCTGCTCCAAAGCTAAAGCTGAAACAGAGGCAGCCCTGCTGCTCGCCTTCACAGAGCCATGGAACCGTTTGGGTTGGAAGGGACCTTAAAGCTCCTCCAGCTCCAATCCCTGCCACGGGCAGGGACACCTTCCACTAGAGCAGCTTGCTCCAAGCCCGGTCCAACCTGGCTAAACTCGGCACTGCAGCCCAGCCCTACCCAGCTTTTACCTTTCCTGGGTATTTTCATGTCATACATGAGGAACATATGGGAGCCATTAGACCCAGATTTACATTCTTCCCTGACGGATGGCAGCATGTCAGAGAGTTGTTTATTTAATGTAAAGTGTGATATTTTTAACAAATAGCTTCAGCTCTCCCAGTGCAATAGTTTGTGTGACTTTTCATGCCCTTCTTCCTGGTGCAGGATAAACAGCTAACAGGAACTGGCAGTCAAGCTTTAAATCTCTGCAGAGGACTCTGGAGCCAAACAGGAGGAGGGAGCAGACAGGACTCAGAGCCCCCAGCACCCCGGTGCTCTACCTGGCTGGTGGCACGCTGTTGAGCTTGCAGTCTCTTAAGATCTCTGCAGACCTATAGATGTGTGTGCACTGGGAGAAGGGGTTGTGGGACCACACGGGACCTTCCCTGCAGCACTGCCTCCTTCCACTTCCTTAGGATGTGGAAGCTTGCAAGATCCACCAGGAGACAGCACTAAATGGAAGCTGGAAAAGGCTGCGATCGAGCCCCATTTGGCTGCTGCTGGGTTGGAATGCTGTAAATTTAACCCGGCATCTGAACACTGTGTCCTTTTCCCACCCAGCCGTGCCTCCCCAGCTCACCCTCTGTGCAGCAGCACTTGCTCTTCCTTCCGACCCATTCCAGAATCCCTCTCGCAGCACACTTGTGCTTGCTGCACTTAGTGGGAAAGATCTTTAAGAGCAATGATTTTATTAAATCTCTGAAGCCTTTTTTCCCCTCTGTCACCTCCCACCCTAAGGACAGGGCTCTCCAAAGCGAGCGTGGTTTCCCTGGGCACTGTGATCCCTGCGTGTCCATCTGTCTGGAGCAATTACTGCGGCCTCCTTAGGGATTATTTTTCAGACAAAGTGTTGACATTTTCCCTCCGTTGGGCATTGAGCGTGTACCTGTGGTGGTGACTTGTGAGCAGCAGCAGCAGCAAAGGAGAGGAATGCCCTGTGGTTAATGAGGTGTTGGAAGGCAGCACAGCTAAATCTGGCCTTGCGCTTTCCAGCTTTCCTGTTTAATTAGAAACCTGGCTCTCTCCTGGTCATGCAGTCATTCACTTTCCGACTTGAGTGACAGCCCAGCCTTTCACAGGGAAAGTGGCCACAGTGTTTAACGCGCTGACGCTGCTGCCTACCCACGTCGCTCTGTGTTGCCCAGCTTTGTGTTTGCTGTTGGAACACTGTCTGTGGCCTTTCCCAGGTGCCTGAGACATCGGCAATAGCTGCGTCCTTCTCTTGACGTTTCTCCTGCAGCTCGTTGGGGTTTTGGCAGCTATTCAGTCCTTACTGGCCACTGCCTGCTTTAAATGTCAAACTTCTCAGCTCTGACCCACCACAATTAAGCAATTACAAGTTGGTGGCAGCACAGGAGGTAGAGATGGGAGGGGTTCGGCCTGCTGAGGGAACCATGTCCCTGCAGGTGTTGGATGTGGGCACACGGAAGGATGAATATGATCCCCCCATGGGGTGGCTTTTGTCAGATGAAGGGTCACAGGGAGCTGCGCATCCGCTCCTTGCCCGCCATTGGCCTGGAACCCCTTCCCTGAGGACTGAAAGTGAGTTTCACCTCACGGTTCAGGGGATTAAAAGTGTGCATGTGGTTTGTGTTGGCAGCAGAGCTGATGAACCATTAGTTGTTCAGCTTTTATAGTGGGATTGTGTGCACTTGGTATGGGTTATATTACATGTGCTTAGATGCTTAGATTGCCCAGAGAAGCTGTGGCTGCCCCATCCCTGGCAGTGTTCAAGGCCAGGTTGGACACAGAGGCTTGGAGCAAGCTGCTCTAGTGGAAGGGGTCTCTGCCTGTGGCAGGAGTTGGAACTGGATCAGCTTTAAGGTCCCTTCCAGCCAAAACCAGGCTGGGATTCACTAATGATTCTATGGAATCAGGATGAGGTAAGGAAGGGCCTTGGGAATGGGATGCAATGTGCTGTTACCATCATGCAGATTGTTCCTGCTGCACCATCACATCTTCCGCATCAGACTTTAGTCACCCCCACTGCACCCCACCCTCACTGGGACAGCCTCAGGGGGCTTTGATGCCTAGAATTACATATGAACAGATTGTAGAAGAGACATATTTACTCAATAAATAAATACAAATAACATATGGCAGGTTCTAGCATGACATATAGCAATATGCACATTGAAAGGGAGGGTAAGGTGGGCTTGGAGCTTTTGGCTCATTCTAGTTTAGCTTAACACACCAAGGATATCATTTAACCAGGCTGGCACTCGATAACATGACTGTTGCTGCAATATCAAATTGCTTAGAGGGCATGTTAGAAGCTACATACTTATGGTTGAATATGTTAGTACAGAGTATCCGGGGGGGGGGTGTTTGCTTTAGGATGGCAGGGGACAGTAAAAGCGTGCTTTCCTCTGTAACTGGGGTGTCCTTGGGTGCCCTTGGCCACGTTTTGGGGTGCCTGCCCGCAGTGGGTACATGCGTGTCCCCAGGACCTGCAGCCTGCTCATGGCATGCACCGGCAGAGGGAAGGGGTGGTGGGTACCGGTGGACCTTGGGAGGGTGTTGGGGCTTTTCACCTCCTCTCTGCAAAGCTTCGTGTGGAGCAGAGGAGCTCTGCTCTGTCTGTTTTGGTAAAGCCTTTACCTAAAGCTCGGAGCTCTAATGTCTGGCTCTGTCATACTAGACAAAAGAGAGAGAGGGAAAAGGAGGAGGTGGCAGCTGGAATTTGGGGTTCAGGGTCATCTCTGAGCCTCTGGGACAGTGCTTAGTCGGGCGAGACGGGCAGTGGGAGGAAGAGGATCGCCTTCTGGCCGTAGTGAGTCCGCGGCCCCAGCTTGCTGTTCCCGTTCTTCTTCAGACCTACGAACCAGTTCTTATCCGCGTGCTTTTTGGAGACGTACGTGTTGTAATGGTTTTCTTCAATCCTTTCTAGGAACAGGCACTCCTCACCCAGTAACTGCTGAAAGAGAGCCCCGGGGAACCACAGTGAGATGGGGCGATGCTGTGGGGAGGAGGATGCGCATTCCTAGTGCAGCAATCCCAGTTTGGGGGCTCTTCCGCTGGGACGTGTCAAGACCGACCTCTGAGATCTCCGTGCCCAGTGAAGTTCATATTCAAAGCCTGGAGGTAAGTAGCCTTAGTGTAGTCCCCTGGGCTACTCCTGCAGTAATCTGACCATGCTCTGGGCACTTTATTGGGCAATACCTGAGCCCAGCCCCACTCTGTAAGCTGGTCCTGGCACTGGGTCCTGCTCTGGCACTGAGCTGTGCTGTGGTAGCTGCGGGTTCAGAGCATGAGCACAGGGAACAAAACAGCTCTTTGGGGAGGCCGAGCAGCCTGCGACCAGGGTTGTGTGTCACACACTTTGCTCTAAATGGGGCTATTCTTAAAGACCCACAATATTTTGGGTCACTCTGTGCCATACAGTTCCTAGGCACAGGGGGGTCAGCTCCTGCCTTGCACCATCCCCCTCACGCTGGGATGTTGTGGATGCTGCTGCTGCCTCCAGCACAGGGTTTGGTGCAACCAGGATGCAGAGGAAAAACGTGAGGAGGTCTTTGCTCAGTGGCTGTGGGCCATTGCCTGGGGCTGCCTGGGTGGTAAATGGGGTTATTTGGTTATTTATTTCTTTCCCCCCAAAATAAAGCCGTATGAAGAGTGGCCGTCCAGCTGCCAAAACAACAAACAGAGCCTAATTGCTGCCTGTGGTTTGCATTACTCAGAGCCTCGAGATTTCTGCAAACCTCAAACCCTCTCCATGTCTGGTCCCACCTAAACCTCCTACTTACCGAGCCGTAGAGCAGCCCGTTGGTGTCCATCGCCAGGTACTGCCCAGACTGGGTGCTCTTTATATACACCTCTCCCACGCTTTCCGCGCTCAGCTGGAGCTGAACTGAAAGCAGAAATAAAGCAACAACAGACGTGAAAGGAAAATAGGAAAAGGGGGAAAAACCCCAACAAAATGTTGTCAGAGATAACGTCCAAGCTGCTAGGAAAGTGGGCAGGGTGGTTTTGTTCCAAAGCCTGGCTTATAAGGAGTTTATAGGAAACAGTACAGCATGTAATAGAAGTGTGTCCTTGTACCCTCTCCTTCAAAGAAACCCCAGAGCCATGCTTTAGGAACCAAAGACCAATTTTTTCCTTATTTTACATCAAAGGAAGAACAGCCTTTTGGTTAGGGCTCTGGAATGGGACACAGGAGATTGGGGTTTTAATTCTGGCTCTAATTTACCAATTTCTCATGTGGTTTTGACAAGACACTTGGGGAGTGACATACACAGAAGTATTTTGAGAGCTAAACCAGGGAGGGGCAGACTTCAGATGCCTGAAAACCCCTGACCCAAAGCATCCCATCCAGCAGTGTGCTGTGCATGGCTTTGTCCGGCACATCATAGACAAAGAGTGGCGAAAGGGCTGGTTTTCATCCTAAAAAAACACCTCTCATAGGAAGCCATGAGCCACAGCTGACATTGTCCTACTTTGTGGCACTGACATGACTTTGATAATGAACCGAGAGCAGAGCCTGCACAGGCTGGGCTGGGTGATGCTGTGCTGGTTCATGCAGCCCACTGGGCACCAGCTTCCTGTCCCTGGCACTGATCCTGGACCTCAACTGGGAATTCCAGGGCAAAAAAAGTTCCTTATTGGTCTTGTACTGTGGGAGTTGAGCGGGTCAGCTGCAGGCCAGGGTGTCTGGGCCACCTCCCTCCTCCACTCAGCATCCTGTACCTAACACAGCAGTTAACATTTCTCTTTGTCTGGTTACTTCCCCATGGAATGATCTTTAAGGTCCCTTCCAACCCAAACCATTCCATGATTCTTTGATTCTATGAGATAAAAATGGTGACACTGTCGCAAAACCTGATTTCAAGAGAGGGGAGTAGGGGGACCCTCCAGCTGCTGCTGGGGACACTCGGGTCTAGGGCCACAGAGGGAGGGAGAATGTCAGGTTCAGGAGCTCACACACAAATTCCTGTGGTTTTCCAGGTCTGTACAGATATTTCCTTCCGTGAAGTGATGGGATGAGACAGAGGAAATGGGGCTGTTTGTGGAAACCAGCGCAGGCTTCATCCTTTGAGGGTCTGCAACATCCTGGTGAGTTTTCATTTCCCAGTGCAAGTCTGAGATGCTCACACATGGCAGCAAAGTGCACAGTGAGGGGGTCCTTTTGCAGGGCTGGATGCCAGGGCCTTGGAGTGAGGTACTTCTGTTCTCTTTGGAGATCCCCCCTGATTCTGGGGCTAGTGCTGGGCAAGGCAATTTACAATAACAGTGTGAATTCTTGATGCCTATGTGGAGCAAAACTCATGGGCAGCTCGCAAAGCCCCAGCACAGGCTCTACTGCAGCCTTGCATACTGCATCCCGGATGAGCTGCGAGTGTTCTGGTGCCTCGTCCCTCTCTGGGGTCTTCTCTCCTTGCCTTTACCCCCAGGTTTCCCACACGGACCTGGCTTGCGCTCAGGGGCAGGACCACGGTGCTCGGAGGCAGGCACCGCGCTGCAGGGCTGCTCCGCTGGCACGCGGCCCTTCAGGAGTTTCCTCTGTAAATATTTGTCCGTTCCCGTGTCCAAGCTTACGAGATCATCCGCAGGAGGTTCCTTTCTGGCACAGGTTTCCAAACACGCAGCCCCAGGCCGGCAGCCGAGGAGGTGTGAGCGTGCCGGGGCGCAGCGGGGCCACGCTGCCTGCGCTCGCTACCTGTGTGCATGGTGCAGCCTGAGAGGAAACCCTCGCTCTGAGGTGGCAGCTTGCTTTGCCACAGGGACAAAGGCTGCCTTGGTGTCTGAGACAGGTTTCAGCTCTCATCTAATGGCTTTGCAGGGCATGGTCGAAGCAAGAGGAGCCTCTGTGGCTGCTGTGCTGAATCCTCCACCCCATAGCAAATGCAAAGATACCATAGCAGTGTGTGATGGCTGTGTGCGTGTAGGATGTGAAGCTGCTCCTAAGCCTTTTCTTCCAGCTGCCAGCCATGCAATTAGCACTTGGGTCCTGTGCAGTCTGCCTGCCTGTGATTGCACTCATGACCAGTTTCAGATTTAACACTCCTGCAGGTGGGAAATAGCACACATACCGTGCCTGCCGGGGCTGTGGGTGTGCTTGGTGCGTGTCCCAGAAGGCACGTTGGCACGAGGAGGAAATAGAGCTTGGTACAGGGCCCATCTTCCCCCGCTCCCCCCTTCCTGGCTGATAAAATCATAGGAGCAAGGAGGAGCCCCAAGAAGCCCGGTCGGGTTTGCTTACTGTGCTGGTCGCTCCGGTCCCTGGTCCCATCCACTTTGCCGTCTGGGAGGATGCGCAGGAAGTGGCCGCCGTTGCTGCAGTACAGGAGCTTGGGCTTCTTGTAGTTCCCCAGGGGAAGGTTGAACTTCTCAGTCAGGGCGGTGAAGGTGGTGATCTCCCCTTCGGCCATGGCTCAGCCTCTCCCTGCCGCCGGCCTGCAAGAGATGTGATGGGGTTCGGCAGGGCCGGTGGCACCGAGTGCTTGGCAACACTGCAGCTCCTGCCAGGCTTTTAAAGGGATAGGAGGGAGCCCGGGGGTCCCATCTGGTAGCCGGGGTGGCTCAGGGCAGGTGAATCACACGGTGGATGATGGCTCTGGCAGTGACACAGCCCCAAGGTGATGCTCCTCCAGCGTGGGAGGGGTGCGGGGTTTGTCTCCTCACTGGGCGGCAGGACTCTGCCCTTTCAATTTTATCATCGTAAATTCTGTTTTCTTTCTGCTTTCTATTGACGTACGGACTAAAATTATACACTGAGAAAAAGAAGGCTGAAAACCACCCAGTGTCTGATTGAAAGCCACAAGAGGCAGGAAGGGAGCCCAGGTTAATAACTCCCTCCGCTATTATAGCTCTCAAACATGATTATGACTAGGTATTGCAACACGCACTGCATGCCAGATAGCAAATATTACTTCGTATCTTGGCACTCTGCACCTCACCTGGCCAAGGCACACGCATGCTAAAGATCATAACAAGCGTTAGATATTGTGGGAGATGACAGGGACAGGAGGCTTTGACTGCCTGGGCAGTAAGCAGGAGATATGCCCATACACCGATCAATTGTATGAGGAAAAGAGGAACTTTGAGTCTAGATTAAACCATGTCTGTGCACCCTTGGGTCTCAATAAGGCTGGTTAAAAGGGACAGGCAGATCTCTGGCTGGTGCAGGGGGTGTAACTGGAGGTGCAGTAACTGGGCATGGGGCAATTCAGTTGCTTAGGAGCAACAGGCGGTGGCTTGGGAGTGCTGCTTCCCTTGGGGCTCCTGAGCTCTCCTTGGGGCCTGGGAAACACATGGAGATCGTCCTGAAACCTCCTTTTGCAATACCCTTTGTGACTGTGATCCATGTTTCAGCAGATGCTGTGCTGCAACCTGAAAGCATCATCAGACCGGTAAGAGAAAGATGTTGTGAATGCTGGAGGGCGAGAGCTGCCATCGCAGCCACAGGATCAGGATGTGCTGTGCCTGGGAACCAGAATCCCACATGTGTTCCAGCTATATTCAAATCTATCTGATGGATTCTAGCCTAGAAACTACGTTTAAAATCTCCCGTGAATATGCTGTCTTCCATATACAAATTTCCACAGTGGATTTATGAACAGAAAAAGACAGAGCACAGTACAAATCTAGATGTGGGAAATTATTTCATATATCATGTATTCCCATGGCTATATTATGGGAAATAGAATATAGTCACTGATTATATATACTTACAGATTGTAAAGATGTGTCTTCACCACTGAGCTGTGCTCCTGGTATGTTAGGAGGGAGCTGGTATACAGTGTGAGTTTGCTGTGGTACTTAAGAGCGACCTGGGAGATACGAAGGATTGCAGCTATTTGCAATTCACACACACGTATCTATCCATATAATCGCTAAATATTTGGTTGTAAACTCTTAAGTATTGAAATTTGCAGCTGCAGGGAGGGGACCCCCCCTGCTCCAGTGGCTCCCCATAGCCTGTAGAAGATAAAAATGTCTGCAAGCTGGGTTGTTAAAAGCTGAAACCTTGCAAATAGAGACACTGTGGTAAGGACATAGGCTCCGTGCCTTACTCCCAGACGTGTCCCTCAGGGTCCCTGGCACAACACAAGATTTCCTAGGAAAGGAAAATGGCTGTAAAGAGAAGAGCATCCCCTGCCATCCCAGCCTCAGTTCCTTCTGGTAGCTGCTGGTTCACAGCAGCTCCTCTTTCCTCCTGACTGTCAGCCCGGAGTTTGCTGCGGATGGAGGTATTAAATCACAATAAACCAGCTGAGCTCACAGTCAATGCACAACAAAGGATTTTAGACTTTTCCCCACTGCCCTTTCTCCAGAGCCATTTTGATGTTGCTTGGCAAGTCCCCCAGTGCCTACCAAGTGTTTCCTTATCAGCCCAGTGCTTCCTCAGCTATATGCTGTCTTGTGCTGGCAGCTGTTTGGGTCCTTATCTAGGTCTATAAAGTGTCCCTAGACCAGTCCCTCCCCATATCTGCACCTCCTCAACGCCCGCTTTTGCTCTGGGACTACTTGCAAAGCCCAAAGGATCCACTTGTCCCCAGGGAGTCCAACCAAGTTTTGCAGCCTCCTCTGCTGCTGCCCTTGCTCCTGAATGGCACAAAAGCCGCGTCCATCTCAGCGCTGGCGTGGTCAGACTTTGTGTGTTTGGAAGCTGTGAAGTTCCACAGATCCCCTGTCCAACACAGACAGGGGTTTTGGGAAGAGCTCTTGCAGGAGGCAACGTGGGCTCTCACTTCATGGGTATTCTGTGATGAGGGTGGTGAAACAACCCACAGGAGCTCACAAGCTTCATGGCTCCTGGTGGTTTTCCAAAGCAGGTGATGGACCAGCTAACTATAGCTTCAAGCTCCTTTTTTACCGCAGTCTTCAGGTGAAATGAGGTATTTCGCTGAGTTTCTTGTCCCCAGGCTCATTTTTCTGTCAAGAGATTACACTTTTCTTGTAGCAGATTAGTTTTTAATGCCATATGTCTGCCAAAACTTATCTGAAAGAAAGCCTTCACGCTTTCAATGTGGTACATGAGGCTTTAGTGCTGCAGAGCATTAATGGAGATCAGTGGCACTGTGTAATTTCCTGGAACTAAAGCTTTCCTTGAACCTTAATCTGAGGGTAAGAGGTGCTTGGAAGTCTCCTGGGTTGATGCCGGATGGAAGCAAGAAAGAAATATCCCAAAGCTCAGATCAGGATCTCAGCCAAGCTCATGCATCAGCCAGCACAGCAAGGAGCAGACTGGGATGCTCCCTTTGGTTACCTGAGGGTCCGTGCACTCAGGGGTGTTTATGGATAGCTTCAACAGAGCGACTCGACTGGAAATGGCTTCTTCTTTACACATACTTCCTTTACGGTTCTTTGCCATTTTTAGGGTGGATTCAGTGCTCACCAGCTGCTTTTGACTGCACAGGAGAAGCTGAATGAATGCTATTTTCCACTCCCATTGTCTCTCCTTGCTAAATACTATTGCTGTTCTCATACTTTTATGACCGTGGAGTCGGTACTTCGCGCATACCACCACTCATGGCCCTACTATTACACTTTTGGCAGGAACATGTTAAGTTTTTATGGGAGCTAAAAAGCATGAGAGAGAGAACCTGAACCAAAGACAACATAAAGAGCCTTATTTCTTTGGGTAGAAGCCCAACAAAACGATTAAATAGCTCAAAGCAGAACAGAAAGCTCCCTCCAGGATGCTAAGCTGAGAGACACCACACTCCAGCGGTTATTTGGTGCCCCATGGAGAAAGGAAAATATTCCAAGAGGAGATTGCTGTAAGAGGGGGTGGCAGCTGCTGAGCAGTTGATACCACCGGTTGCACTAGGACAGTAAGTTGGAGCCCAGGCTGGAGAGTGTTTGTCCAAGACCAGCTGGGTTCATGGCTCTCCTCTTTCCTCCCATTCCCACAGCTTCCTGTGCTGCGCTGCCTAGGAGAAAACCGCTGCTAGGAATGAATGGCATCATCCCTGGGAGCTGGACCCAGGGCATCTGCTCTGAGGTGGCCCTGGCTCTGCGCTCCGGCGCGGGGGGCAGCCCATGGCACAGCCCATGGCACTGCTCCTCTTCCTGTGTAAGGAGATGTCAGAACCCCAAGGATCAGAAAGAGGTTTCTGAAGCAGAAAGGACTTTAACGTTTGGGTTGAACTCACTTCTCCACTGCAGCCAGGCCTGGCTGAGCCGCGGTGCTGGAGCAGTGCAGCGTGCGTGCTGCCGGCAGCGGCGAGGAGGGACGAGCCCTCACGGGGCCGGAAGAGCTGGGAAGTTCTGAGAAGTTTGGGTTTGGTTCCAAGCTTTATCACCGCTGCTGCAGCCAAAGCAGCGGCTTTGATGTGAGATCCCAAACCCCACGAGCATCCGAGCCTGAGCGTTGAGGGCCGGTTCTGCTGCCAATAACAGGCGAGCTCCGAAATAACCGCACACGCTGGGGGCCACGGAAAAGGAGTGAGGTCCTTCTGCCTTCCCATCAATGCAGGCGTCACCCCTTTGCTTGCATTATAGAGTCAGCATTGATGGGAGTTTGGCAACCTGGGGAGGAGCTTTATCATGTTGCTAAAATGTCTCTGCCCTGTTTTCTTTCCAGACCAATGCTTCCTCTCTGCTCCTTTTTCTTTAGACTCCTCCTGACTTACTTGAATGGATCCATTTTCTTGAGATCAGAGGCAGGAATGTTGCATGTTCATGACAGCCCATTGCGTCAGAGGCTGATGGAGCTGGTGCCTGCGGCTGAGCACGCTGCATCATCAGCACAGCCTCTTCACAACCTCTGATCCCCAAATGGTGCCTTGGTCCCCCAGCCAGGCCATGAAACCAGGAGGCGACCAGCTAAGGTGAGCCTGTTTTTAACTAAAGTATAGAATAGCTGGCTACTGTGTGGAGGAAACCGGAAGTATCTCACGTGCCATGGGTTAAAACAAGATAAGGTGTGACTCAAATGCATTAGAACTGTCTTTGGCTTTGGATACAATCCTTTATGTGGGGTTGAAGTGTTCTGCATGGCCTCTGTTAAGCACCCCCTCGGAACAAGTGTGGCTGCGTTGGTGAGGAGTGCATTTAATCACAGCTGTCAATGGATGATCAGCTGAAGATGGTGCTGGAGCCTCCAGCCAGCAACACCCAGGACTGTGCTGAGGTCTTGTCCTTACTGAGGTCAGTGTCTCCTGCACTGGGCTCGGGTGAGTTCAATGGAAACACTCCTGTTTGACTTGGGAACGTGTTGTTTTCTCCATTGAAGCAGAAATCCTGTTTCTTCTAGGGCACATGACTCAGCTGTGATCAGGCAGCATCACCTCCCGTGGGCTCATTCCCCATTCCCACTGCTGACTGCAGCCACCTGGATAGCACAGTCACTTCCCAGGCGGCTCAACACTACAGATGCAAATGGAAAGCACTGTTTTAACAGGCAGAGTATTTTTAAGGAATCCAGGCTCTGGCTTTTCTCCACCTATTGCCCATTCCAAGGCATTCCTGAAGTACCCTGTGGGCTGACAGGTACGGCTTTGGGGCGACCCGAGAACAGCCTGATCATATTGAGTGAATATCTCTCCGATAAACAGGGCTTTTATTCATCCCAGATTTTCGGGATCCATTGCATGGGATGGATTTCCTCACCTAGGAAGGGTTTAGAGGTCAGCAAGAGGTTTCCTTGTGCTCTGGTTGCTCCAGGAGCTGTGGCACAGTGGCTCTGGGGTTATCACCAGCACAGGCAGCCTGCAAGGGCTGCGTTCCTCCAGAGGGATGCCAGTGCAAGGCACGGCTCAAATTCCTTGGACTGCGGATCCTCTTAGAAGGTCTTAATAAATGATTAGGCCAAGAGTATGATAAATATGTAATAGATCATTTTGTGCGTGTCAGCGGAATGCTTTGGCTTGCTTCTAGTCAGTGTTTGTGGCAAGGTGATTTTATCTCAGGCAATATGATTAAATGAAATAGTTATGTGCCAGGTTTTACCCTGTGTAAGTGGAATATGTGGTATAAGGTGTGACCAAAGCTGTAGGAATTAATCTAACTAATGCCTGCTGTCATCATCAGCCCGAACCGTTCTATGACAAGAGGTTGGTCAGGCTCGATTTGACCATTTTATGCCATCCCAGCCCTGGTTTAGCTCCCGTCTCATGTTCCTGCAGGGCTTCAAAGCCATGTGTGACCCGTATGTGGCTGTGAGGCTGTGGCACCCCAGGTGCCGCTTCAAGCTGGGACATCCAGCGCAGCGTCCCAGCAAACTGGTGGCATCCATGGGGAGACGGGAAAGCAAAGTGAAGATCCACTTTCTAATTACCTTCTAGCCTCTCCTGCCCACAGCCTCCTGCAGTCTGCTCATTAACTTAATGACAGTCCCAGCTCCAGCACTCAATCCAGCCCCAGAGCAGGAGCCTTGCCAGGAAGGTCTTGCCTCCTGTGTCCTGTCTGGGTTTAGAGCAAGCCCATGGACACGTACATGAGCAGCACAGGCTGCAGCAGCAAATCCCATTGCCTCATGTGGGGGATTTAAGTGCTAACTCCCAGTGCACAGTGCAAGCCAAATGTGTGGGACCTGCTCTATGGAAAGAACACACTGGATGGAGAATGGCAAAAGCTCAGCCAAGGATGGGCTGGAGGATGAATTGGACCCAGGGGACACGTTTGGGCTTTGCAGTAGAGGCAGTTGCCTGATTATCGTCTTCATTTTAAGACACCACTCGCAGTGTTCACTGCTGAAGCCAGTCTGTCCAGTATGGGTGGATGCTTCCACTGGAGCACACTCCGTGCAGGAGCTGCAGCTCTTCCCAGATACCAGGGCCTGAGCAAGGACCATGGGCCCTGGGTTGTGCTTCCAGGGCAGAGCTGTGGCCATGACCACTTTTACAAGTGCCCTTTCCTCCTTGCAGGCTCAAGCTGAGACAAATATAAAGCATCATCCCTCCTGTGCTCCACTGCAGTGCTGCCTCCCAGCATCTTGCTTGTGTGGACCACTGGGCTGGCTGGAAGCAGCCACTAATATGTGCCATGAGTGACACCATCCTCATGGTCTCACCTCTGGCACGCAAGGAGGATGAGGACCCAGGAATGATGCACAGGGTGCACGTACCTTGTTTTGGGTGTTTGCCAACTGGGCAGAGTGTGGTTAAGTGCAGGGCTGTGCACACCTCTCCCATGCTTTGCTTCCCAGGGGAAAAGCATCTGGATGCTGTAAAAAAGCATCTGGAAAGGGATGCTGTAAAACTAATCCATTGTTGTTGTTGTTTGAAATGTTTGGTGATGGTGTAAGAAACCCTCCTGGGCAGGGGGCACTTGGCATGCCCCAGTGTGCTGATGCAGGAGTGGAGTGACATCTTCCCACTTGGTTCCTGCTCAGCATCCCCAGGCATGGGGGACCCCATCCACACCCTGCTCAGGACCCAGTTCCCCGTCATACAGGGAGGTTAAGGTGAGTGACGAATGTCACTGTCCCTCCTGCCACTCACCTCTGGTGTCCAAGCAGGACACTGGGCAAGAGGCCAGACCACATAACAGGAGCACCCAGGCTGTCTGGGCGCCCACGGAAGGACGGATGGATGGATGGACGGACAAACAGCGGTGTCAGCCGTGCTGCTCCCAGCCAGGGCAGGCTTCTCATGGCTCTGTTTCCCTGCTCTGGTTACAGGTGCTTTTCTCCATCCCTCCTCCCTCCTCACTGTCTCTTGGAGCATTTAGACAACACATGGCTGCTTGCAGCGGGAGCTGCTCTGCCTCAGGCCAGCTCTGCCCAGTAAAAGCAGTGGCTGGCTTAAATGTCACACTCTAACCCTAAATTTTCACTGTATGCAATGCTCCTCTGCCAAGGGGCTGATCTGATTCTCCTGTTGTACCCTGTCCTGTCTGAGCCCTCTGGTCCCACCCAAGCAAAGCCTCCTGCTGATGCCCCCGTTTCAGGTACCTGCCTGGTCCCTGCTCCTCTCGGTCACCCTCTGTCAGCCCCGAGCCCTCACCAGTCTCCTGGTGCTCGGACAGGTCTGCAGTCTCAGCGTGCTGTTGGTAACCAGGCATGAGGCTCGAGTTAGGAGTGAAAAGCAGGAATCCTCGCGTGGTGTCAGATGCAACACTTCCTGCAGCTGGCCCTCTGAAGGGTGGCCAAGCTCAATCAAGGCTTGGCTCCGGCTTCAAAACTGGGATTTGAGTTTGGGTTCAGGCTTTGTACCATGTCCTTCCCCAAAGATGCGGAGGATGCTGGAATTGAGGGTTTCATCTCCAGGCCAAGTGAAACCCCACATCCATCCTCGTGGTTAACCATCAGTAGACATATCATCGCTCAGAAATCGAACTTCCTCCAGCATAGTCTCATTCTTGGTTGTTCCAAGGAAAATCACTTGGTTTCTGGTTCCCCATAAGCTCAGCAGTGATTTTTTTCTATGCTGGAAATGTGCAGGGAGTTAATTCTGTTCCTTCTGAAATATTTGTGTAAGGGCTATAGAGCTTGTCTTGTGCAGTGCTGAGAAAAGCTGGCTGCAGGAATTCTGTTCTTAATTCTGCTGCTCAATAGCTTATTTTAAACGCAGTGTCTAGGAGCTATGGATGGGAACTCCTGTTTTTTTTTGTGCTTCCTGTTTTCCTATGCACTCTGCTGCTCAATAACTTAACAGTGCGACAAAAGCTTGAGGTAATAATTGCTATTAACAGGGAAATCCTCCAATAAATAATCATTTTCTTATCTGCATGACTTAGGGCTGGCGAAAATACCTTCCAGTGTCAGACTGCAGTGCAGAGGAGCACGCAAGGAGAGCTTCAGATGAAAGATCAGAGCAAGGCGAGCTCAAAGCTGAATGTGGGTAAGTGCAGATGAGTGAGTCAGCAAACCCCTCCAGCATCATCAGCTGTGGGTAAGAAGTCACTGGAGTAAAGTGTCCGGAGAAGCCGTGCGTTGCCACCTCCTCTGTCTGTGGAGCCAGACAGGTCGCTGCTTTGACATTTTAGGCAGAAACTGGGGGAGTTCCTGGTTCCAGGCAGTGGGTGGCTCTGGAGGCCCACGGTCACCAACCTGTCCACTTGTCACCCTCATCTCCAGCCTAGAAAGCAGTGTGAATTTCACACCGGGGTGCACCAGAGCTTGGTAGAAGATGGAGCCCCAGTTCTGGTCCCCGCTGTCCCAGCTGGGGCACATGAGGCACCTGGGCACTGATTCTGTCCTTGCCATGGCATCAGTGATGAAGGCAGCGTGACCTCAGGCCGCCCGTCAGGAGGCAGGAGCAGGCAGCCACTTCTGCACCGCCCCAAGGAAAACAGAGCCCTGCCTCGGACGCTGCTGCTGTTTCCATCACGGCACCCTCAGAGGCAGGGGGATGGTTTCTGGACGCCTTCTGCCCTTCCTCACCTCCGTAAACAACAAAGCACCATAAAAAGCGCGTTGCAGGGGCAAAGGCTGCAATTTGAAGGACCTGGTGAACCTCAGCCGCTGTAGCAGAGCACTCCAGAGCTCTTTCCGTGGAGGTGACACCCACGGTGGTTATTTCCAGCTCCCGAGTGGGCAGACTGCAGCCACCGGGGTGGTGGTTGTTGATCCTGGTGTTTCCACAGCCAGTTTAGGGGAAAGCGGCTGGGGTCAGGCTGCCCCACAGGGATGCAGCTGAGGATGCTGGTGATGACAGGAGGCAGAGATGCTCTGGATCATCTCAGTGGCGAAAAAAAGCCAAACTGAACCAGAAACCCTTGGGACAGCAACTTGTGGTCCTGCAGATGTGAGCACTGCTATCCCTGCTAGTGCTGGGACATGGGGGCTGCTCACAGCCCTGGAACAACCGGAGTGCCAGGAGCGCTGCTGTCTGTGTATCCAGCATTCTGGGTGCTCTATGCCCAGGGCTCCTGAGAGGAGCTGGAGCTGTGCCTTGGGCTTCACTGACCAGCTCCGCTGGCAGCATCCGGCCTTTGGGGGATGTTATTGTGTGCAAGCACCGTTTGGATCAGCCCTTTCCTGCCCACGTAGCTCTGTGAATAGGGGATGTGTGTGCCCTAAAACCAGCCACGTTCCAAAAGGGGAATGCTGCATATACCAGGGGTGATAATGCAGTATTTAAAATGCAGCCAAACTACGACAAGTGTCTCATGAATTGCACTGGGATGGAGATGCTCCATAAACAAGGAAAACATTAACATCAGCATGCATCAGTCCCTGCATCAGTCAGAAGCTTTTTAGAACATGCTGCAGCAAAGGGAATGTTAAGGAAGGGGAAGGGAGGGTGTTTTACTTGTATTCGCTGTCCAAGATTTGACCTGCAAATGAAGCTCAAATATAGAGGCAGATGGAAATTCCAGTGGAAAATGTAACCCGCCGAGCAGTATTCTCTGTGCAAGATAAACACACCCCGTGAGGATGTGCAGCTGTTAGAGCATGAAGAGGGACCTCTCTGGGGAAAAAGAGTGGGCGAAAAGCAGCTCTGGGGAGCTGCCAGGGAGTGGCCGGTGCACGGAGGGGACAGGCTGCTCCATCCCCAGGTTGGATGGTGCAGGGATGCAGTCGGTGCCCTGCATGGCAGGGAGATGTGCAGGAAGCAGCCAGGTCGTCTGGCGCTGAGAGATTGGTGTAGGCTTTAGTTTTCAGGGGATTTATGGTGTGCAGTGGCCCTTGTGTAAGCGAACAGCTTGTATCTGGAGCTCATCTGCTGCTGCGCTGACTGGGACTTGTCATGGTAAAGATCTCCCCCTCCTGTCCACCCAGGCAGAGCCGGATGAGAGCAAACAGGGGAATAACTCACTCAGGGCTCCTGCTCTTGTGTGACCTGAGCACCGACCAGCCAGGCTCAGCGTGTGATTCGGGGCACCCTGAGCAAGTGAGGGTGACCATGCCCTGAAGGTTGGCCTGCAGGCTGGGCAAGCTGCCGGCAGACCCTGGGCTGGGGATGCTGGGGGCAGCTGTGGCCATAAGGGTGACTGTGCACCTCGCATGGGCCACTGCTGAGCCACTGCCACCCTGTCAGTGCATGAGTAGAGGAGGAAGAGGAGGTCTAAGCTCGGTGAGGAAGGGCACGAGTAGCACAGGGCACCAGGAACTTGTCCCTGAGCATCCCTGGGGATGTCTGTGGACATCACTGGAGGAGAAGCTGCCCAACCATAGCCTTTGGTGCCTTGCAAAGGGCAGCAGTGGGAGCTGCTCTGGGCAGTGCTGCTGAGCTTATTTCTGCACAAATAAGGTCCCTGCATGGGTAAGTGCTGGCCGGGCTCATCTGCAGGTGGGGCAGGCACATTCACCAACTGCAGAGACGTGGGCAGCGAAGATCTGAGGTCAAGGCTGACTCCCAGATCTCGGCTCTTGAAGCACAGGTCTAAATTAAGGGCCAGAAGCAAGGACAGAGCTGGTGAGCACAAAGTCATGAGTCATTTATTGACTGTGTCTAGACCGCTGTGGGCAAAGTGCAAATCCTTGGGAGGACAACTTGGACAGGACAACACCGCTCCAGAAATGAGCCTGAAGGGGACAAAAGGGGTTTGGATGTCACCCTGTGAGTCAGCGGTGCGGAGCCTGCAAAACACTCCGTCTGGAAAGCCCTTTTATTGCCTCTTTTCTAATCTTTGTCCTCAGGGTTAGCTGTCAGGCTTGGAAATGCTGCCTAGGAGATGTCTGCTTGGTCCATCCCTGAGCAGCCCCCTCTCTTTGTGTGCTTTCCCATGCGCAAGGGAGCAGGTTTGGGGTGCAGGGGCAGCATGGACCCCAGTAAGGGGGTTACGCACCCTGTGATGGGATGCATAGGCAGCCGGCACCACAGTAAGGGGATACACGAGGGGGTGCACACCCTGCTAAGGGGATACACACCCTCCTAAGGGGGTACAGGGGCAGCAGGCACCCCGTTAGGGGCTCTGCAGCTGCAGGGGCTGTGCGAGGCCCAGGTCAGAGACGCTTTGCCTGTTTGTTCCAGCCGGGAGGGTTTGCTGCTCTGCTGCCAAACCCGCAGGGGTGAGCAGAGGCAGTTTATACACCTGGGCTCGGAGGAGGAGGGTAATTGCCCAGAGACCATAATTACCGCCCTGTGCTGTAAAGGCCGGCGCTGGTCAGTGGAGCGGTGCCCCGCGGCCGCAGGGAGCTGCAGGCTCTCTCACTCTGTATTGATGGATTCCTTCTATGCTCCTCAGGTTTCCAGCTTTCTGGAGCAGCCGCCTTTTCCACACCAGCAAGCAGCCCTGTGTGCAGTGTTGTTTTGGTCACCAGATCACTTTAATCACTGTTTTCCCCCTCTGCTCTCCTCTCATCTTTATCTCTCTTTCTCTGCTGGCATCACTCTGGAGGATGCAGTTTTCAGGGGTGATTTCATTCCTCTTAAAGCGCCTCTGTCTCATCCTGGGGAGAGTCAGGCCGGGGACTTGGGACAAATCAAAGGGGAAAGGGGGTTTTTCTGAATTCACTTTTGAGTTGGTGAAGGCCCAGAAGCGTGGGTTTTGTTACCTGATTAAAACACAGGTTGGGCTTTAAGCTGCAGCATGGATGTGTGCTAAGGTGCTGTGCTGGGGTTAATAGAATAGCATTTAGCACTGGCTGTGTATTAGCTACTCTTGAAAGGAATCTGTAAATATTAACCATGGCGCTCTCTGAGGGCCTGTGTTAGCTTTCATCTGCCACGTTCAGCAGCTGGGAAAAAGGAGTGTTTCTGTTATGCTGCTTTCCTTGGTGTGGGAACAAGGTTTCAGAAAGAAAGGATGGGTCTGTGGCAGCCGGAGCTTTGCTGCCTTTGCTACCCCTGGCTGCAGTGCATCGCTGTCTCTAACCCAGGCATGCAGGTGAGCCCTGTCCCTGCGGAGGGCAGTGCCACCCCTCCATGTTTGACACGTTACAGCATGTGGAGTACATGGCATCAGCACGGCACAGATCTCTTCTGCAACTGCTCTGAAGGCCTCGGCATCTGCTTTTGTTCTCCAACAGCATTAAAACAACAGAAGCTGGTGCTCAAAACAAGGCACAAAATAGCAACGGCCATTGCTGAGAAATACTGAGTCACGCACCTCTCTTCTCTCACAAATGGGGGAGAGGGAGGATTCAGTGATGCCACACAACACGAGGGGCAGAGCTTCATCGACAAAGCCATCGTCCCTCTCTTGCTGAACTGGTTTTCAACAAATTCTTCTGCCAAGAGGTTTCTATTGTGAGCGGTTTGAACGGCAAACCCAGGCAGGCCTCCAGCCCAAAGGATCAGCACTGATACCTGCACTGGCAGAGAATACATGCGGGGTTTCTGAACACACCCCACCACAAGTCACTGCCTCTGGGTTTGAGGGGATGATGCCTCGTGCCCAGGTTCAGCTGTGACAGAGCTTTCTGTGAATCACAGAACCCCAGCTTGGTTTGGGTTGAAGGGACCTTAAAGCTCCTCCAGCTCCAACCCCTGCCATGGGCAGGGACACCTTCCACTAGAGCAGCTTGCTCCAAGCCCCTGTGTCCAACCTGGCAGCTGTATTTTCAGGGGTCACAGTTCAGTTACCCCGAACTGGTGTTTAAACAACACAGGGTGAGGCTGACCCTCCACTCTGATGGGAGCTGCCTTCCCTGTGCCTCCCTGCAGCTCTTCCCCGCTCCCACGGCCTCTCATGATGGATTGCAAATGAAATGGAGCCAGGCGCCGAGAGGCAGCAGCTCTCATTTGATAATCTTATTTCCTGCTAAACAGAAGCCAAAAACTTCTGATTGAGAAGAAGTTTCTAATAGAAATAGAACTTTCTGTGATATGCGTGTTCTCCCATGCATTTATCTCCTCAGCCCCCTCACCTCCAGCAGTGGGCAGGGATGTGGCTCCTCCATGTCCTGCTCCACTGATGGAGCCACTTGTGCTCTGCAGCTCTTACATCTTAGGCAGAAGCTCTTCCCTGTGAGGGTGCTGAGGCGCTGGCACAGGGTGCCCAGAGAAGCTGTGGCTGCCCCATCCCTGGCAGTGTTCAAGGCCAGGTTGGACACAGGGGCTTGGAGCAAGCTGCTCTAGTGGAAGGTTTCCCTGCCCGTGGCAGGGGTTGGAGCTGGAGGAGCTTTAAGGTCCTTTCCAACCCAACCCATTGCATGATTCTCTGATGCGATTAGGAAAGGTTATCTGAGTTGTACCGGTGTGTGCCAGCCCACTGTTCTGTTAAGGGAAAAAATCCCCAACCCAAGCCATAGGTTATCCGGCTGTTAAAGGGGTGCTCGCAGGTGACATTGCGATTTGGGATACAGGACATTCCAGCTGCTCCCAGGATACATGCACCACCGGTCTTCAAAGCCTTTGCCAAGTGCTGGAAAACGGATGGGCTCTGACGCAGCACCCCTGAACAGCCTGGTCCACACAGCAGGGCTCGGCGGCACAGCCACCTCCCAGCAAACACTGCTCCTCTCCCCCACAGCAAACAGCACGGGAAGAGTCTGGGTGCCCTGTGCAGAGGAAAACCACCCAGCACCCCCAGCCTGTGCCCTGCTGCGTCCAGCAAAAATTTACACACAAATAAGACTCAAAGGGAAGAGCCAGGGCTGGCCACAGTGAGGAAGAACCAGCCCTCTGTCCCCATGGGGTGCGGAGCAGAGGTTGGGGGTTTTATTGGGTGAGAATAATCAAGGTCCTTCCTAAGGGCTGAGCTCCGTTATTGTTTCATTTCTGACTTGGCGTCAAAGGAGAAAACAAGTGTTTCAGAAGGTGCTGGATGTTCTGGTGTGGGTCTGTTGTATGAGCGCATCATTGGAAGCGCATTGAAATGAGAGACTGAAATAAACCCGCTGCAGTTATTATCCTTACGGGCCCTGTGCCTTAGCCCTAACTCCTCATTACAACTGTGCTCGGAGCTGTTAACTGCTATCCGAGCCAAGCCGAAGATGCCAAATATAAAGGCAAATTGCTGCAAGCTCTAATTGCTGGGTGAGTTCAGGTGCTGAGCCCCACACATCCCCGCTGCCCACTGGTGCCACACGTCCCTGCCACCCCCTGCCACCTCCCCGAGCATCTTTGCTTGTTTGTGCCATTTAGCAAAGCGGAAGAGCCTGATAAAGCAGACACAGGGCAGACAGGTCCTTGTCACTGTCACCAGTCATCCCTGTGCTGAGGAACAGGGGTCCTGAGCACCACAGGGCTTCGCCTTGAAAAGCAGTGTGCAGGAGCCATGCAGCTGATGGGTAATAAAGTGGAAGGAGCCGTAGCCAGCTGCGTGATGAGCTGCTTGGTTGGGAGGAAGATCAAGGTCTCAGGAGTGGGAGGAAGGCCAAAGTCATTTGGGGAGCTTGGGAGGGAAAGTCCATCCCCTGGGCTGGGGTGGAGCTGGGAAGGAAAGTTTATCCAGAGGGCTTGCAAAGCTCTGGGTCTGCCTGGAGACCTCGGTGGACCTGAACCCTCCTCAGCCCTAATCCAAAGTGCGTGTTCCTGCGCATCCTGAGTGCTTGGAGCAGCCGGAGGAAGCGGGGCCCGACCCAGCAGTGGAGGGAGAACAATTGGACATTGTGCTGCCTTATCACCACTGAGCCCAGTCCTGCCCTTAGGAACCCATTAAACTTTAGACCCCTGTTTGTGCAGATCTTCCCGTACGTCTCACGCTCTCCAAGGCGATTACTGCAGGGCTGAGAGGTGGCCAGGCCTCCCCAGTACTGCTGCCAGCACCACCCAGTGCACTGGGTCCAGGAGCCAGTGGGGTGATGCTGGGGTGCTCGGGAGCAGGGACCCAACCCTGCACTGGGGTGGTGAGGTGATGTCTCACGGGCACGGCTGTGGCAGCCATCCCGAGGGATGCTGATGGGGCTGGTGGGGTGAGCCGGGGGGTACTGGTACCTCTGAGCAGTGGGATGGACCCTGAGGCACCTTCAATGTGCCACCCTCATGGCAGCTACAAGCACTGCTCAGCCTCTGAAGCCCACGGGCAAGGCATGGGGTGCATGACCAAAGCGGGGTGCTGAACCAGGGCATTGCTGGTGTCTGGCCAGGAATTAACCTGAACCTGCTTTGCTTCCACCCTGCCTTGTCCAACCACTGCTTTTACCTATTTTTTTCTTCCCTCCCCACCAGCGTTTCCCAGCTTGGATCCTGACCCCTCCCTTTTGTCTTGGACATCCCTGAGACCACCCAGCTCAAACGCTGTCCCTGCATGCCCAGAACAGCCGGGGAGCTGTGGCTGCAGGAGGAGGAGGAGAAGGAAGAGGCGATGCCCAGCGCTCGGGCAGGAAAAGGTCAGAGGGAGCAGAGGTTGGCTGCGCACGATTGCTTCTCATGAGATCTGAACTTACAGAAGCTCACGCAAGTCAAAAGATATGTTTCAGTAGGAGCAGGGTGTCTGGCTGGAATGGGCCCCAGGAAGTTGTTTTGGTTTTTAAATAAATAGCTGTATCTTGCATCAAAAATGAACCATTTTGCATCAGAAATGAACCGTTTCCTAGTGCTGTGTCACTTCAACAGATTCCCTGTTTTTTAATGCTCCAAATACCGTGTTTTGCGATTTAAGATGTATTTTATATTTCAATTCTCATCCTGATCCAGGTTTCTTGGGTTAATTTGCAGTAATTCTGAGGTCACAATTTGAACGGATGTTCGGTTCCGGGCTCCCTCCTCTCTCAGGGGGCTGCAGCCTCTTGCGGGGTTCGGGGGGGGCTGAACCCCTGCCTCATCCCCGCCCCCCCAGCCCACCCCCATCCCCGGGGGGTACCGGCAGCTCCCCCCTTTCCCTCCCCAGCACCTACCGCCGGCTCCGCGTCCTCCCGGCTGCGGCTCCGCTGTGTCGGGCGAGGGGAGAAGAGGGATCAAACCGATCAACCCCCGGCGCTGATGGTGGTGATGATGATGGTGATGATGCAGAGCTGCCTCCCCGCGGCGGGACCGATGGGGAAGGGGGGGCTGTGGCTGCCGGGGGGCGGGCGGGGGAGCTCGATCGCATCCACCTGCCCGTCGGGAGCTCTGGGCAGGCGCCGGGGCGGGCGCTGGGGCTGGGGCTGAGCCTCCCATCGCCGGGGAAACCCAACCAGGGAGCGCAGGACGGAGGAGCGGCAGCGCTGCCGCCGCTCGCTGTTCCCACGTCCCCGGGGCTGCTGTGCGGGCGCGGTTATCCCAGCGGGGAAGGCAATAGCACCCCCTCAGCTCCTGCATGGGGCCGGCGGTCTGCGCCCTGCCCCGGGTGCCGCAGGGCTGCGCCGGGCACGGGCACCGACACCGCGCCTCGGGCTGCCAGAGCTTGGCCTTAAAAGCCGAAAAGCTCCGGAGAGCGCTGTCAGCTTGAGAGAATGCAGCCCCGTGTCCCCGGGGACTGAGCTGGCTGAGTCTGTGCCGCGGGCGGACACGGGGCACCGGCGGGTTTGGGGGGCACCGGCGGGTTCTGGGGTCAGGCTCCGTGTCGGGGGTGCCAGCAGCAGGTTTGGGGTGCGGGCTGCGGGGCGCTGCGTGTGAGCTGGCTGCAGTGTTACTGAAGCAAGAGCGATGACTTCACCGCTTGGCCATTCACCAGTGCTTTGATGTGGTGGTTAAGCTGCGTTATCTAAGGCTCGCTTAGAATGGGCTTTTAGTCCCGGCTCACATGGAGCCTATGTATTTGGGCAGGCTGGGCTGGAAGCCTGCCGAACCCAGCGTTCTGACTGAAACACGTTCTGACTGACTGCACTTAGCAGCCGGTGGGGATGGCTCCGAATGCACCCAGCAGTGCAGGTGGGCTCTGGACCTCCCTGGCATCGCTGTTATTCCTATTCTGGTTTAGTTTGAGCAAGCCCACCCAAGATTTCCTTCTGCTATTTCAGCCACATGTTGAAAATAGAAAGAAAAAAAAAATAAGACGGATACAGCCAAACATTTCTGTGTCTCAAAAAAAAGAGTGGCCCTGGCTTTGGCTTGGGCTTTCCTGGATGACAGGCGTGGGGTTGTTAGCATATGAGGGATACTGGGAAACGCTGCTCCACTTTCTCATGCGAGGCAGCATCCCCTTGTTTTGGAGCTGTGGGTGACTGCCCCAGCCCCCCTGCCCCTGCCTGCTCCTGTTGTGGTTGGCATTTGGCAGCTCTGAGGCCATGCAGGGCACCGGGAGCCGCTGCCGGCGTCTTGCCAACCGCTGCGCTGTGTCCCTGTCTGCTCCGTCCTGCAGACAGCGAGCGGGGATGGAGCCAGCAGCCGGCAGCGCCGCAGGGACACGGAGCAAACACCAGCCCTGGGGTGGGCTCCTGCACTGCTCACAGCCAGCCCTGCTCCCCCTGCCCACCCTGCCCGCAGCACCCGCACACAGCAGGCACCCAGGCTACTTCCCAGCCCTTGGGGTGGCTGCTGAAGGCTGGTCCCTGCCGCTGCCAGGGGTGAGGAACCTCCTCACCTCCCCGCCGCAAACATCCGCAGGCCTCCTCGGCCACTACTCCCAGAAATAACACACACTTCTTGGGGTTGTTTGGAAACCTGGCACCCAGCCGTATGCAGGCAGTGCCCGTGCAGGCAGCTGAGCCCCAGCACACGCTGCCCCAGCAGCTCCTCTTTCCCCTGAACCCGCAGTCACGCAGCAGAGACGACTTAGGCAAATCCTACTGCAAGTTTAAAATGAGACCCAGGAGATCCCCAGGTCCCAAAGCTTTGGTTGCATTCCTTTGGGGATTGCTGAAACAGCTCAGCAAGTGCCACTCAGCCAGGACAAGCTGGGAACAGCCCTGAAATGGAAAGTCCCCCCTTCTGCTTCCCTGCCAGCTCCCTGCCTGTGAGCCCGGAGAGAGGAAAAGGAAACCCCAGTTGTTCCCCCAGCGATGCACACCCGAACTTGGCCGGGAGCTCAGGAACCAGGACGGCGCATGGCAGATCCTACGGGAAGGGGTTGCAAAGCCCCCACGAGGCTGCCAGGATGCCCTGCCCGGGGCACTGGGAATGCTGGAAGAGGCACTCACCTGCCGGGATGCAAGGGCTGGTGGTGGCAGCAGCACTGGAGGAGCAACGGGAGGACACGGTGGCAGGGGACAGGCAGCTCCCGTTCCTGCTCCTGCACCACTCACGGGTGCTCCGGAGCCAGGCAGGGTTCCTCAGATGGGCGCAGGCATCGAGGCTGAGCTGGACCCTGGTTGGGAGCTGTCATCAGATGGCGGGCACCGCAGGCACCGCAGCTGGCAGCGCGGACCACACGCCGCTCTGCACCCACATAGGACGAGGAAGTATGGATAATCCTTCGCCTTGCTATTTTTTCCCTCTCATGTGATCTTGTTTTTGGACTGCTATTTCGGGGCTGGACTCCAGCCCAGGTGAAAGACAGGGATTTAACCCAGCCTGCCTCCCCCATTGCCCGGAGGGCCTCCCAGCACCTCAGCCTGCCTGCCTAGGGGATGGGGTTAAACCCTGCTGCAGCTCACATTCCCTATGTGCTTCCCAGCCCTTTCCCTCTCCTGCTGCAAAGCCCTTTCTGTCCCTGGACTACTTCTGTGCAGTCAGGGGATGATGGCAAACAGGCTGTGGCGTGCATGGTGTGTCCGGCCACCCTGTGCCCCAGGGCTCTTCATGTGCACAGTTGCAGAGCTGGAGTCTCCCAGCACCATTTGCCCTCTTTCTGCCCATTTCTCCCCTAGGAACAGCCTGGCAGGAAGCTGTTGGGAGATAAATGAATTAAAAATATGCTCACAGCTTGCAACAGCTTGACACGAACTGTTGTGAGGCCTGGTCCAGTGTTCCCCATTTAGGTCTTTCAGCTCCAGGGTGTCCAAGACAAGGGGGACATGGAGCTGTTCAGTGAGTCCAGAGGAGGCCATGGAGCTGCTGCGAGGGCTGGAGCAGCTCTGCTCTGGAGCCAGGCTGAGAGAGCTGGGCTGGGGCAGCTGGAGAAGAGAAGGCTCCTGAAGGGGAGACCTGAGAGCAGCTCCAGTGCCTGAAGGGGCTGCAGGAAAGCTGGAGAGGGGCTTGGGACAAGGGCCTGTCGGGACAGGCCAAGGGGAATGGCTTTAACCTGCCAGCTTTTCTTTCACACTCCGCAATCCCGAGTGCTCTTGATGACAACGCGTAACGGAAAGCTCCGAGGATGCCGCTTGTCCCCTCTGGAGCAAGAGCTGCGTGCGGGCTGCGGGGGTGTGCGGGGGTGTTAATGAGTGACGTAATTGGGGCTTTAATTAAGGGAAGGCTGGACAGGATGAGCGGAGAAACTCCGGCAGGAGAGGGAGGCTCCGCGGAGCACCGGGGCCGCCAGGGGGCGCCGCAGGACCGCATCTGGACGCAGCTGGATGCGGGGTGGGGGGGCGGTGGGGGATGCGGCGCGACTGGGAGCGGTGGCACAGAATGGGGGAACAGCCGGATGTGGGGCACATTTGGGCCCTGGCACAGCTGGGGTGGCTGCGGCACATCTGGCAGCTGAGGTCTTTGCAGGTGAGGACACTCGCGGGGGCAGCAGCCCCAGCTGGAGCGCATCTGGGGGCAGCAGAGCTGGCAGCTGTGGCCCAGCTGGCGGCAGGTCCTGTTGGCCCTGTGCACATCTGGTGCTGCACCCTGGTCACCTCCGCTGGTCCCGCCAGCTGCGGCAGCGGCTCCGGGTGTGGGTTCATCCCTTGGCGCCCTGCGGGTGGTGCCAGGGCTCTGCTCCTCCAGGTCGTGGCAGAGGTAATGAGGAAGGAATTGGCGACAGGCAGGAAGACTGTTTCTCATTAAGATGGTCCCATTCACCCTGACCCCTGTCAAATCCGGTCACTCTCCCAGCCAGACATGCAGTAGCGTAATTCTGTTTGTCTTCTCCGTGCTCTTGCCCGTTGCTCTCAGTCCTGGCTCATTCACCAGGATCCCTCTGGTCTTTCCCATCACCGTTGCCCAGGAGGGAGCACCCTCTCCTGAAGAATGACTCCCGTCCTTTGCCTTTGAAAGGATGACCTTATATATTGAAACCAATGTTGTTTACTTGCGCTCAGCACTAGTTCAGAGTCAAGAGCTGGTTCCCAAAGGGCTCTCCTGGATACACTAACCAAATGAGGAATCTTCTCCTGTAATTACATTTCTAGGGCAGCAGGCATTTTCTGATTCATTTAATATGTGCCATGTTGCATTTGTTACGGATCAGATAGGTAACAGAAGCCCTGTTACCTTAAAAGTACTGCTATTATCAAGTACTGACTTAATTACAGTTTTATCTAAAACCAGATCAGATCAGCTTGGCAGAAGCCATTTTTCAGGCTCCCTGATGCCCGGTGTTGTTTCCTCCCTCCAATTCCTGCTCCATCAAGCCCAGCATCAACCCATTGCCACATCTGCTTTTCACTCATCCCAGTCTTACAAAACCTATTGAATACAAACCCAAAGAGCCCAAAGGCTCTGTGGGGCTCAGATTGGTTCTGGCAGCTTTTAACCTTCCTGACTTTGGGAGCTGCTGACCCCCAGGTGATTCCTATAAGCAGGAAAGAAGCGCGGTGCCCACTGCTTCTTACATCCGCACTTTGCCATAGCTGCTTTTGTTTAGCAAAGCCACCCGAGGTAAGGCCCGGAGCTGGTATCTGCTCACTGTCATCACTTCCCTCTTTCCTCTGATTGTTATGTGCTTTCCACAGCTTTCATAGCAGCCCCCACTTCCCTGGAAGCCAAGCCAAGGCAGCTCTCTTCCCCCTCGGGAAACGGCTTTGTTAGACTGAGCAGTGTCTGGTGTGTCACTGGTTGATCCTTCTTCTCTTTGGTTGCCACTGAAGGAGGTTTTCCCTTCGGGAGAGGAGGGAGGGCATCTGGGGACATCAGTTTGGGGACATTGGCTCTGCTCGCTGCAGCACTGGATTTTCTGATGTGAACCCCAGGAGGAGAACAAAACTGGGGCTTCAGCGTCCGGGGCTGCTCCGGGCGATACCTCACCGCCCAAAATCCCCAGGAATTCCTGATTTGGTCTGTGTCAGCTCAGCCACTTGTGCAAACAGCGTCAGGCCAGGGCTGGGGACACAAAGCAAGGTCGGGCATGAGCCGTTCTCCTGGAGCGGAGGCACCCGGAGCCGGCACAAAGGAATCTGTGTCTCCCCTTCTCTGGTATCCTGGCAATTAACCCAGACAATCACAGCTCACCCTGTCTGGGTGCTGCGTGCGGGGCTCTGCGGGGCAC